ACTGCACTCCAGTCTGGGCGACAGAGTGAGACTCCAACTCAAAAAAATAAAAAAAAGAAAACAAAAATAAAGTATGTCCCATGATTGGGACATACCTATTCATGGAATATAATGCAACTTACCAAGAAATGAATTTGTCTATGTATATTGCATATTGATTTGGAAAGATGTCTATGACATACTGAGTGAATAGAGTTACACAGTGATTTACTCTTATTTTTATAAAGAAAAATAAAAAATTCTATACTCTGCATATGTATATAGAAACATGGAGGAGGTTATAGTGGTTAAGAGCAGAACTACGTGGTGAACCACGTGATTAGAGTAGGAGAAGGCATAGTTCTCCAGAAAGAAGCTGCTGGACAAACACAAGCAGTTGTTCCCCACAGAAATCTTTGAAATTAATGAGAAGGAGCTGGCAATTTTGAAGCAATCTTGATTGTTCTGTTTATATCTATAATTTCAGTTACCTCTGACTTTTGAGGATATTGCCATCTATTTCTCGGAGCAAGAATGGCAGAATCTAGAGACTTGGCAGAAGGAGCTTTATAAGCACGTTATGAGAAGTAATTATGAGACTCTTGTCTCTTTAGGTAAGAAGTGTTCACCTTGTGGGTAAGTTATGGAACTAGATCCTTTAAGTGGTCTCAGTCACTTGATACTCCTGTTTGTCAGGTGTCAAGATTTCTCAGAAATTAAAAGGGTATTTTACCCCCTTTTTTTTGTTAATACTTCTCTAAACAATGTAAGACATTGTTGCATGAGACTATTTGAGAAAACACACAGTGCAAGGTGATTGGGGTGACTAAATGTCTGTGGGGACCTTTAGTCACTACTGACTCTCAGATTGCCATGGTTTTCCACCTATGAGCGCACCCAGCCACATCCATGAAACACCTTGTTTATCTTTAATCTAGGATGTCACTACCTCACAATGTTTACAGTGAAGTCTGAATGTTTCAAAAAAGCTAATGTTATTGTTTCCAGGAATGAGATTTTGAAAGGCTATACAATAGGTTGTTTGAGTAGCTGTCTCTGCCTGGTTATGGCAATAGATGTTCTTTTTGGTCCTTTCACTTATTTTGTCTTTATATTTGGTTTATGTATAAAGCATCTGTTCAGAGAATCATCAAGTCTCCTGCTTCATTCTTTTTTTTTAGAGGCAGGGTCTTGTTCTATCACCCAGGCGGGAGTGCAGTGGAACCATCACAGCTCACCCCCACAGCCTCCAACTCCTGGGCTCAAGTGATTCTCCCACCTCAACCCCCTGAGTAGCTAGGACTACAGGCATGCTTCACCACACCTGGCTAATATTTTTTATTTTTTGTAGAGACAGGATTTCAGTATGTTGCCAAAGCTGGTCTCTAACTCCTGGCCTCAAGTGATCTTACCATATTGGCCTCCCAAAGTGTTGGGATTACAGGTATCAGCTACCACACCTAGCCTCCAGCTTCATTGTTACCCCCATACTCAGTTAACTCCCTAAAGTTAACCACTCTCAACCATTTCTGTTTTAGTTCTCACAGTGGTTTCTTCCAATGTAAATATGTCTACACTAATTCTGTTTCTTGATTTGTTGAGTTTAGACAGCATTAATTAATTACTGTGAAAAATGAGGGATTAGCTAGCTCATTTATGCAATCTCTCTTCTACCTCCTTTTCCCCCTCCTCCCAAATTTTTGACAGTATTTTGTGCCTCTATTTGTTAACTTTATAATTTAAAATAGGCCTGGGCCAGTGGCTCATGCCTGTTACCCCAGCACTTTGGGAGGCTGAGGCAAGAGGATTGCCTGAGCCCAAGAGTTTCAGACCAGCCTGGGCAACATGGTGAAACCTCATTTCTACAGTAATATTAAAAAATTAGCCATGTGTGTGGCACGTGCCTATAGTTACTCAAAAGGTTGAGGCAGAAGAATTGCCTGAGCCCAGGCGATCAAGGCTACAATAGTCATGGTTTTGCCGCTGTACTCCAGCCTGGGTAACAGAGTGAGAGTCTGACTCAAAATAAAATAAAATTAAATAATATATTTAAACTTCAACATTGTATTCTATATAATATATATATAACATATATATATTATGTATAATATATTATATATAATATATTATTATATATAGAATATATTCTCTATTATTATATATAGAATATATTCTATAGAATATGTTTTATTTTATATCTCTTGATTCCTGTAGTATAGAAAGATAAGGTAATTAGCTCTCTAGTACTTCCCTCCTTGTATCTAGCCATTTCATGACAGCTATACCACCATCTTTATATTATAAGGTTTCTAATATTTATCTTCTTTCCTGTTACTGTAGTTACATTTTCCAGACTCTAAACAATCTATGTATTAAGACATTAAGACATGTAATAAGACATTACATTATTTTCATTGTTACTAAAGAACCATTTACAGTACTTCAATCTATAAAGAAAGAAATATAATTGAGCCGGGCTCGGTGGCTCAGCCAGTAATCCCAGCGCTTTGGGAGGCTGAGGTGAGTGAATTGGCTGAGCCTGCAGGTTCGAGACCTGCCTGGGCAACTTGGCGAGACCTCATCTCTACAATAAGTCAAAAATTAGCCAGGTGTGGTAGCGCACGCCTGTAGTTCCAGCTACTTGGAAGGCTGAGGCACAAGGATCGTCGGAGCCCCGCAGGTCGAGGCTGCAGTGGCCAGGAGCAGTCACTGCATTTCAGTCTGGGTGACAGAGTGAGACTCCAACTCAAAAAAAAAAAAAAAAAAAGAAATATAATTGTATGTCATTTTGTGCCACCACAGAAAGAGTGTTCCAAACATCATCATCAAATAGATTCTCTTTTTTCATACTCATCAGTTCAAAATTATGCTGCATTTAAATTTGTTTCACTTTTAGGTGATGACTTTTTTAGGTTTGGATTTTTTGGGGGGTTTTAATTACTTTTTAAAACTCACGCTTTGATTATATCTTTGTAATTATCTGTCTTCCTACTCATACAGTCAGTTACATGGACCTTTCTGCCTTCTGTCAGTTCTCCCCAAATCAGTCTATACATTCAAAGCAATTCCAGTCAAATTCCCGGTAGGGCTTTTCATGGATTTTGATAAGCTAATCCTGAGAACATGAAAGAACCAAGACAGGATAAGAATAACCATGACAATATTTTTTGGCACAAGTTGGACAGTCATTGTCCTATCAGACAGCAAGACTTATTCTGTGGCATCCTATGTTAAAGATAGAAAAGCATCTGTATGTGCTGTATGTTTCAAGATGTGAATAAAGCAGAGTGAGCACTCCTACCCTGCTCATGAAACCGTCAGTACAGCCACTTTGGAGAACAATTTGGAAACATACAGTAAAGTTGAAGACACACTTACCCTGTGATACAGCAACTCACTTTGAGGACTGGCAGTGCTTGTACATGTACTCATGGAAGCATGCCAGTGAGCAGAAGAAAGAGAAGACAGATTGTGATATATTGATATAATCAACTTCAATCGAATGAACCTGAGTGTTTGAAAATGGAGAAATTTTGGAAGTATTAGAAAAGCATGTCGCAATATGGTTTGGTGTGGCTTATATAAAGTTTAAAACCTGCAAGATTTTTAAAATTTAAATGTCTGTATTTAAAAATCAAGACATGCATAGGAGTGATAAACACCAGATTTAGGGCTTGCTTACCTCTGGAGAGTGATATACAAGGGCTTAAACTGAGTAATGTCTCATATTTTTAAAAAACCTGACGTATGTTCCAGCATGGGCTACATAGCAAGACCTTATCTCTAAAAATAAAAATAAAAAAATTAGCTGGGTGCCTGTAGTCCCAGCTACTCGGGAGGCTGAGGAGAGAGGATCACTTGAGCCCAAGAACTCGAGACTGCAGTGAACTGTGATCATGCCACTATGCCACTGTACTCCAGTCTAAGCAACAGTGAGAGGCCCCAACTCAAAAACAAAAAAACCTGAAGTATGTCAGCATGGTAAGATTTGACAAAGTAGATAGCAACCAGGTATTTATATATTTTTCTCCTACATGTACTAGACATATTTTCAATAAATTAAAGCATTGTTTTAAAAAATCCTTTTTGACTGAATTTTTACATCAGCCAATTTGCTTTATTTTTATTTTTTTGAGTTGGAGTCTCACTCTGTCATCCGGGCTGGAGTGCAGTGGCATGCTCATGGCCACTGCATCCTCTACCTGCTGAACTCAGGCGATCCTTCCGCCTCAGCCTTCCGAGTAGCTGGAACTACAGGCACAGGCTACCATGTGTGAATACTTTCTTTTCTTTTCTTTTTTAAAAATTTATTGTAGAGACGAGGTCTTGCCAATTTGTGTAGGCTGGTCTCGAACCCGCTGGCTCACGCAATCCACTTGCCTCAGCCTCCCAAAGTGCTGGGACTACAGGCTGAGCCAAATTTGCTTTCAATTAGAACCCTGGCACCTATCATGTACAGATGGGGGCTGTGAATATACTTTGTTTTTAGTCTATTGAAACAAAGAAAAAAATATAAATAAATAAAATGGAACCCCTAAGATTTGGCTGTTGTTAAGTGACTATTAGGAATATAGAAACATTTTCCAAATTGGTTTTAGACAAAATATAGCATTGTTAGATATATGGGGACCATGACAAAATTGAGCACAATACAACTATCTAACAGGTCCAGATAGATTAGGAAGCACTATTATGATATGTGTAAACCTTAATGTAAACCTATAACCTGTTTTTTGACATCTATTCTCACAATTGTCCTAGAAGTAAATTTTGAGAAATTTAGAAACAATTTAGTGTGCTTTAAATTTAGTGCTCAAGGAAGCCAAAGTATTCTGTCTGATTTCTCTGTACAGATGATAGACTTCCCAAACCAGAACTGATATCCTGGATTGAACAGGGTGCAGAGCCCTTCAGGAATTGGAAAGAATCACAGAAATCAGGAAATATAATTTGCTCCTCTGCTGATTTGCATTTTGATCCAGTTATTAAGGGACAGCTGTTTTGGGGTGAGTATTAAGAAATCAGGGCCCTGACCTTAAGACATCACCTTCAGATTTCCTAGTTTATTTTCTTTGATTTTGTTTTCTTGTTTGGCTGAGCTAAAGCTTGATATCTCTTATATTCTAGGAAAGGGCAATAAACTCTAGTGGTTAGGAGTGTGGGTTCTGGAGCCTAAGCCTGGATCTTGCCTTTTCTGGGTGACCCTGAGCAAGTTATTGAAACTTTCAGTATTTCAGTGCCTTGCAGGGGGCCAGCCCCTGCAAGTTTTGGGGAGTCCCTTGGAAGATGTGGCAGCGTCGGCGAATCTGTAGGGACAGATATTAAAAGAAAGAAAGAGAAAAAGGGGGAGAAAGAAAGAGACTGGACTCTGTCTATTACAGAAGCCAATTCTGTAGTAGGCATAGATATTAAAAGAAATAAAGAGAAAGAAAGAAAGAAAGTGGACAACTGTTCAGTGAAATGAGCAGAAGCCGTTTATTGAAAGTTACAGCAGGTATTTATCCCCAAATTTTACACAGGCAGTCTCACAAGTCTTTTACGTGAACACAAAGCCAGGTGCGGGGGGGGGGCATTCCCCACCCACCAGATGTTTAGGTGTGAGGAGGAACAAACCCCGAGATTATCTCATTGTTCCCTTTGTTAGTTAATGTTTTTTAAAAGCAGTGTACAATCCTTATTAGTCTAATGATGTTCTGATAATTAATAACTTCTAAAGCTCACTCAATACCCATGACGACTAAATTAAACTCTACCACTTATATAATGTTATAGAAGCTCTTAATTATAGCTTAAGCCAATTTTCTAAAGAATGTGGCCCAGTCCAAAGATCACACTGGGCCCTACAGGATGTGGCCCAGTCCAAGGTCCACGGTGGGCCACCTTTTGGAACAATAGACTACAATCTTTTAACAAAATGGCTATTCCAAAGTCTTATATGTTTATCCTAATTTCTATGAAAGTTTTCCAATTCTTAATTCTAATATATAAAGTTGATTAGCAGCAGCAAAGCTTTTAAAACCTAAATGTAAATTGTAAATGTACTAAGGCAAAAACTTTGATAGTAGAAAGCGGAGACGATGAAAATTTTGAAAGTTAACTATACTCTTATTAAACCTAAAAATATTATGATTGATTATGTATGGACTAACATGATTTGTAGCATGACCTATTCTACAATACCTTTTATGAATAAAATAAATTCAATTTTTATAACAGGTAGAAAAAAGACCTTACACTAACTGTAGCTAAAGCCAGCCTAAAAGAATGCAGCCCAGTCCAAAGTACATGCTGGGCTCTCAGGAATGTGGCCCAGCCCAAACTCTGTGCTGGGCCACTCTCGAAAATCATCTTCACCATTGAAAAGCTGTAAACAGCTCTCCCTAAGTATATACTAATTCTATAAATATTCTTTTAAATCTTATAAAGAAGCTTGTACTGTATAAAAGGCTCCCAAATGTGACCTGAATTTGAATTATATCTAATACCTAGGCCGAAACCGCAGTTTATGGGAAACAGGAACAATGGGTTTCTAGAGTCAGCTATGCCTGTCACAGTCACAGAGCCTTCAGCTTAGGCCAGCAGAGTTCCTTTAGGTTGCTTGTGCTGCATGGCAAAAGGGGGAGGAAAATGGGGTCAATGGCTCCCGAACACATCCTAGCGGTCTCGGGGTCCACGGCCCTCCCTGATCCCTAATGCTCAGTGGGCCTCCATGGCCGGCTCCCAACGATGCCTGATCTATAAAATGAAGGTATGAAAGTACCCATGTTATATGCCTAAGTGGGTTAATGTATGTAATGTTAGAATGATCCCTGGCACACAGTAGAGCTCAGTATATGTAAGTTATTCTTTTTTTAAAAAAAAGTTTTAAATATTTTATTTTATTTGCAAGACAGGATCTCACTCTGATACCCAGGCTAGAGTGGAATGGTGTGATGATAGCTTACTGCAGCCTTAGATTTCAGAGCTCAAGTAATCCTCGCACCTCAGCCTCTTGAGTAGCTAGAACTACAGGCATGTGTCATCATGCCTGGCTAATTTTTTATAGGGATGGGAATCTTGTTTTTTTGCTCTTGTTGATCTCGAACTCCTTGCCTTAGCCTCCCAAAGTGCTGGGATTACAGGCATGAGCCACTGTGCCTGGACAAATGAAAGCTTTTCTTAGTAATAGATGGAAAAAGAAGAAAAGCAGACTGATTATCTAGATCTTTGTGACCAAAATGACTTCCTTTCTTTCTAGAAACAGTCATCTGTTTGAATACTTAAACCTTAACTCTCCTCTTTCATTTCTTGTCATGATGAGAGAGTCTGAGATTTGGGGATTCTTGAAAGCCAGTATTGGCCGGGCATGGTGGCTCAGCCTGTAATCCCAGCACTTTGGAAGGCCGAGGCGAGTGGACTGCCTGAGACTGCGAGTTTGAGACCGGCCTGGGCAACTTGGCGAGACCTCGTCTCTACAATAAATCAAAAATTAGCTGGGTGCAGTAGTGCGTGCCTGTAGTTCTGGCTACTCAGAAGGCTGAGGCAGAAGGATCACCGGAGCCCAGCAGGTCGACTCTGGGGTGGCTGTGAGTGTGCCACTGCACTCCAGCCTGGGCAATGGAGTGAGACTCCAACTAAAAAAAAAAAAAAGCCAGTATTAAAAGTATGGGATAAAGAAGTCAAATGTTAGCTCCATTCCATGAAATCTTGTCAAACAGTTTTAGTTTTTAGCTGCTTCTTTCCATATGGTTTTTCTCCATAAATTACTTTACTTTCTACCATCTATTATTAATTCTTCCAAGAAACCTTCTTAAAACATTGGTAGGAATAGGGGCAGGCAGGGAGGACTAGAGCTAAGGCTTACCACTTGGTTGTAAGAACAGGACGACTCATAGTTTACATGTAACTATGGTCTTAGTCAGGCTCTGTTAGCAACTTGTGCCATTGTCAGCTCGTGACTCCAGGTGTGTCTGTTCATCAAAATGGGATAAGTCTGATGTTTCTGAAGTCACACCGTGGTCAACATTTACAGAGCACATGCACTATGCCAGGTACCATGTGTAACACATTTTTGCTCATTTAATCACAATCCAGGGCTTAGACCTTAAGTTGGTCCCCTATATTTTCTTCTTTTCATTATTATTGTAAGATTTGTCTGTTTGGTTTAGTTTTAACGACTCACCAAACTCATTTTGGCCATAAAAGAGAACCACAGTATATGGTTATGTATCTCAGTGGGAACTGGGCTCTCATGCCACCACAGGTCATTGTTACGGTGACAATCTTTAGTCATGCCATACACAGGAATACTGACTAAATTTTTGTTTTCAGTTTCAGGAAGCCAGCAAGCTGTGAATTCAGGACAAACTAAATGCTATCTTCAGTTAGATCTTCTTCAGAGCCAGTATTCCTTTGGACACTTTTTAGGAGAAAGAGAAGATGTTTCCTGTAGGCCTGACCAAGACATCACACTCATGAGTTCACAGAGACACAACACATGGGCTCTGACTCTACCAGTACACAGCTCCAGCGACTCTACCCAAAAAGAAGGAATCCCAAGTCCCAGAAATCTGAGTCTCCCTGATTTGCAGGAAGTCCCTGCCTGGGAGACCACTCAGCACCCTTGCCCTGTCTGTGGGGAAAGCTTTTGGAAGAAGAACCATTTGGTAAAGCACCAGAGGAGCCACTCAAAGGACCCACCATGTAGGACCTGGAAGGAGTTCAATATGCAAACTGAGGGACTACCGCATCGGATGCCTTGGGCCAAAAGGCACTTTCGCTGTCCCGAATGTGGGAAGAACTTCCGCCTGAAGCAGTATCTGCTGAAACATCTGACTGCCCATACAGGGAAGAGCCCATTCCAGTGTTCTGAATGTAAAACGTGCTTCCGACATGAGCAAACTCTTCTCAGCCAGCACCTTGTGCACAAGGGGGAGAAGTCTTCCCAGTTCCCCAAGTGCAACAAGAGCTTTCTCCCAGGGGACAGCAGGCAGGTTCACCAGTACCAGCACAGCGGAGAGAGGCCCACCTCCTGGAGTGAAAGCCTCAGCCCCCTTGCCAGTGTGCATTCAGGGCAGAAACCAGGCTTGTGCCTGGACTGGGAGGGGCGCTGCCACTGGGATGGGGACACAGAGGCGCTGCAGCATGACCATGGCACTGAGAGTCCCTGCTTATGCACAGAGTGTGGCAAGTGCTTTCCTACAAGGACCAGGCTCACCAGCCACCTCAGGGTGCACACGGGAGAAAAGCCTTTCCACTGCCCGCGGTGTGACAAGTGCTTCCACCTGCGTGGCCCACTGGAGGTCCACCAGCGTGTGCACAACAGAGAGAGACTGTTCTGCAGGAAGTGTGGCAAGGGCTTCACCAAACAGTGTAAGCTCACGGAGCACCTTCGAGTCCATAATGGGGAGAAACCTTTCTGGTGTGCCGAGTGCGGCAGGAACTTCCGTCAGAGGGGACAGCTGCTGAGGCACCAGCGGCTGCACACAGATGAGAAGCCCTTCCAATGCACAGAGTGTGAACTGAGCTTCCGCCTGAAGAGCATGTTGAGGGCCCACCAGCTCCGGCACAGCGGAGAGAGGCCATTCTCCTGCAATGAGTGTGGCAGAGGCTTCACCCACCAGTGTAAGCTCCGTGAGCACCTGAGAGTGCACAGTGGAGAGAGGCCCTTCCAGTGCCCAGAGTGTGACAAGAGCTTCCGCCTGAAAGGCATCTTGAAGGCCCACCAGCGCACCCACAGCAAGGAGAGGCCGTTCTCGTGTGGGGAGTGTGGCAAGGGCTTCACCAGGCAATCCAAGCTCACAGAGCACTTCCGCGTGCACAGTGGAGAGAGGCCCTTCCCGTGCCCTGAGTGCAGCAGGAGCTTCCGCCTGAAGGGGCAGCTGCTCAGCCACCAGCGGCTGCACACGGGAGAGAGGCCCTTCGGGTGCCCGGAGTGTGGCAAGAGCTATCGCGTGAAGGCCGACATGAAGGCCCACCAGCTGCTGCACAGCGGGGCAATGCCATTCTCTTGTCAGTGTGGCAAGGGCTTTGCTAAACAGTCTAAACTTGTTGAGCACATCAGGACACACACAGGAGAGAAGCCTTTTCAGTGTCCCAAATGTGACAAGAGTTTCCGCCTGAAGGCCCAGCTGCTCAGCCACCAAGGCCTGCACACAGGGGAGAGACCTTTCCACTGTCCTGAGTGTGGCAAAAACTTCCGGGAACGGGGACACATGCTTAGGCACCAGCGCATACACAGACCTGAGAGGCCCTTTGCCTGTGGTGATTGTGGGAAGGGCTTCATTTATAAGTCTAAACTCGCTGAGCACACCAGAGTGCACACAAAATCCTGTCGTGCTCCAAGTGAGCCTGACATTAAGAAAAGGCTCAGCCAGCTGTTTGCAATGATAGAGGCTGACTGGAGTTGAGGCAGAGCGTGACATCCAAAGCTGTGAGCAGAGCTGATGCTGCCTGGGGTCTGCAGCAGTTGTCTCCAAACCCACTGGTAGACAGATTTTAGGAGCAGGGGCCCTTCTTTGAGCAAGAATGTAACACGTGTGAGCTCAGAATTAGGAATATGAGGAACCACAGATGATTTTCTCTTCTGAAACATTACCAACTGTATTTCCTATCCATGATAAAAAGGTGTTTGTTCTTCCTACCATCTTGGGTGTCATTTTTGTGCAAATGCTAAGCTAGCTCTAAAGTCTCGAATTAATAAAGAAGGAAATGCACCAGTGCCATTCTCAAAACCGAAGGGATGGGAGAGGTTATTTAATGTCAATCCTAAATTTTGTTTCAGAGTATGATCCTAAACTGTGGGTTAAATCCACTGAGTTTTGCTACAGCCCTGATGTGCTATTGGATTTGGTTTGGGTTCATTTATCTTGAAACTGATAACAATGAAAGACATTGAATCTTAGTTTTTCTGTTTATGTGAAAGCTGAAGTTTCTTAACAGTTTCCATTTGATTATACATAGTTCCCCTAAGGAAAAGCTGATGATTTCAGCAAAGTTTGGCTAGTATCAGTTGAAGAAATAAAACTAAAGGTTCTGAAAGGTACAGAACTAAAAAGATTGGAACAGAAGATCTAGGTTTAAAAGTTGTAGAATAAAGATGCTTCTTGAAGCTGAGAGCATAAATGAGATTCCTGAAGAAATATTTAAGCAGATGACTAAAAGCTGAGTTATGACAAAAGTAACCAAGTTAAACAGCTTGATCAGGAAGGCAACAACAGTTTAGTGTGGAGAACTAACTGTTAAACATGGTGAGAAAAGGTGAGGACTACCTCATCACATTAATGAAGTAGTGAAGGTGGTGTGTCCCTGGGGTATGCTCAAGGGACAAAGCTGTAATCCATACAAAGAATTTCTGATTTTCAAAAAGGTTCATTTTTCATGTAAAAGATGACTGCCCTGAAATTATGAGGGATGACGGAAAATGAGATTATTAGTAAACTGTAATAGAAATTACTACAAAACAATGTTTCACAAATGATTGTCTCTGGAACACTAGGCCAAATGTATTCTGTGAGAAAAGAATTACATGGCCTATTGCACAAAGATCCTAATTGTCTACTGCTGCATTCTTAAACATGAATAAATAGGCAAAGACTACCAAACATTTGAAGGAAAACTTTTACATGAAAGAGAACAAAAATGTATCCTGGATAAATCATATAATTTAGGGAGTAAAAGCTACATTTAAAAAACACAAATTATTAGTCAGGCACAGTGGCTCATGCCTGTAATTCCAGCACTTTGGGAGGCCAAAATGGAAGGATTGCTTGAGGCCAGGAGTTTGAGACCAACTAGCAGGCCTTACAAAGGGATCATAAAAATGAGGCAGGCGTGGTAGCTTGCACCGTAGTCCCAGCCACTCAGGAGGCTAAGGCAGAAAGATCGCCTGAACCCAGGAAGTTGAGACTGAGTGAGCCATGATCATGCCACTGCACTCCGGCCTGGGTGGCAGAGTGAGACCCGGACTCAAAAAACAAAACAAACCAAAAAATCCACTAATATTATTCAGGAAAATTGGAGAAGTTGCCATTGTTATAAAACAAGAACATAATTTCAGGAAAAGGAAGTATCTGCAAACAACAAGCTCCAGAACGTAAAAAATATGATAGTTAAAAAAAAAAGAAAACTCTCCCCAAATAGAAGATCCAACGGGTAGAAAATAGACATTTCAAATTCAACATTTCTTTTCTTTTTTTTTGAGTCAGAGTCTCATTCTGTTGCCCAAGCTGGAGCAGTGGCATGCTCCTGGCCACTGCCGCCTCGACCTACTGGGCTCAGGTGATCCTTCCACCTCAGCCTTCCAAGTAGCTGGAACCACACCCGGCTAATTTTTTGATTTATTGTAGAGATGAGGTCTCACCAAGTTGGTCAGGCTGGTCTCAAACCCGTGGGCTCAGGTAATCCTCCTGCCTCTGCCTCCCAAAGTGCTGGGATTATAGGCATGAGGCCACCTTGCCTGGCAAATTCAACATTTCCAAAACTAAACTGACTTTCCTCTCTTAGTCTGTTGCTTCTTTAGCCTTCCCCATCTCCGTGAATGAAGACTTTGTATTCTAGTTTCTCAGGTCAAAAATCTAAGTATTTGACTTCTCTTTTTCTCTCAAAACGCTCACCTAATCCACCAACAGATCCTGACATCTCTACCTTCTACCTTCAAGATGTATCCAGAATCTTACCTCCTCTTACCGTTTCCCTCTAGACTACTTGGTTCAAGTCAATGACATGGACTTCAAAAACTCAACACAGGTTGGGAGATGATGGCTATGGCTCCTTGACCTTTCACACAGTGTTAGGTTTATGAGGTAGGCCAGTGCCCCAGGAATAAAGCAAAGAATTGCAGAGACAAAGCAAAAGAATTTATTACACTTCCCAGGAGAGGGACTGGGAAGGGACCAGCTCTAAAGGAGCAAGTGGTATAGGGTTGGAGGAGAGCATGTGTTTAAGGTTTCTATAAGGGAGCTGGACTAGTGAGAAAAATCTCCTGCATTTTAGTAATGTAGGTCTTGTGCCTTGAGGTCAGGGTGACACATTTTATGACTCTAGGTGGTGGCCTTGCAGTTTGTCACTGGAGGCTGATCCCAGTAGACAGGTAATCAGGTTTCTTTTTAGGACTGAAAGACAAACTGGGAATAGAAAAATAAACAGTACAAAGCAGGCTTGGGGAAGGGAGTTGAGAAAGGGTAAACTGAAGCAAGGTGGGCTGGTGTAGCGGGAATAATGCAAGATTGCAACAGAGGGGAAAGTAGAAGGAAGTACAGTTTATTATTCACTTTTCACGTATGCAAAGAAGGCCAGCACTCAGGTGAGTGTGGCATGGAATGCTGGAAACTAAATGTATTTTATGGGCCTTTAAAGTAAGGGTGGCTTAGACCTGGAGGAGGTCTGGGCCAAAAGGAATGTCCAGAGTATTCTTTGGATTCTATAATACTCATATGAATCTTATATCTTGACATTACCAGGTATCAATGTCTCATGACCTCAGGTGGTGGGCTGGAGGTTGTCCTGGTATGATAACAATATACCAATAAACATGCCTCCTGGTGGTGTACTGGAGGTCAGTCACAGGCAGCCAATAACAGTGTATCGATATAAATGCCTAAAAGATAAATTGTTAGTAAGACTGGACATGCTTAAGAGGTTCTGTGTAATCACCAGTTTCTAAAACTAAGGTATTTTTCTTGTTAATGATTATAAGGTAAAAGGACACGTGGGCCATGCAAGCTGTGCAGCAAGGGAATGTCAAGGGGTGAGGCCTAAGCAAAATGGTTATGCTGATTCAAAATGTTTATGTTATATTTTAAATTGCTAAGGTTCCCGCCTTTCAAGTTGTAAATTACCAATAGCTATCTCTGGGAAAACAGTTCTGTCCTTGGCTAATGATTAGAGGGTAAAGTGAACTGCTAGAAAAAAGATGACAAAGCTAAGCAATGGTAAAATGGCTGCTCTTTGGCTATATTGAATCTACCTTGGTCCTTTCAATGAGGTATTATTATTATTATTTTCTTGAGTCACAGTCTTACATTTTTTGCCCATGCTGGAGTGCAGTGCAGGCTCGACCTGCTGGGCTCAGGTGATCCTTCTGCCTCAGCCTTCCAAGTAGCTGGAACCACAGGCATGCACCACCACACCCAGCTAATTTATTTATTTTTAATTTTTTTAATTTTAATTTTTATTGTGGAGATGTTGCCCGGGCTGGTTTCAAACCCCAGGGCTCAGGAAATTCTCTTGCCTTCACCTCCCAATTTGTAGTTATAACACAACAAGTGCTGGGATTACAGGCATGGGCCACCTTGCCAGGTTGATATTTTAAGCAACTGTTTGTATGTGGAATGCTAAAGGGCTACAAAACCAGGAGGGGGTTCATTCCTGTTGCCCTTTGGTATCCATCCCATTTAAAATATCTATTGAATTGCTTCAACAAGATCTCTGCATAACAAAGACCTTTTCTTAGCCCAGAACTGCCTGATTGCCTCTTCCCACTGCTCCCAAGTCTTTAAAAAAAAATCTTCACAGTGAGTGGCTCAAGGGCCCTGTGGAGAGTAATGAGGATTCCCAGTTCTAGAGAGTCCTGCCATCCAGAGTAGCAGCCAGTAAGGCTGCAATTTGAAGATATCCCTTGTGTGAACATGCAAAATAAGTAGTCAGAGTACAAGGGAGATTAAGGAAATGGTCACTAGTTACAAAGGGATAATGGGGATAAGGAACCAGACAAGCACAGAAGTTCAGTTGGGATGTAAGGAATTAATCTGGACAATTACAATCTGATTATTGTAAGTTTTCCTGTGGCTAGTACTACCTCCAGAATTTCTTAAGGAGTTACTTAAAATATCTCCTTATAGGATAAAGAATTGTATCACCTCTCCCCCACCCCCAATTCCTTAGAAGCTGGAGAAGTTGCTCTAAGCCCAACGAAGCCCAAATCTTTCCTGAAATGTTGAAAACCATTGTCATGAGTAGTAGAATTGGTAGTCATGGTGAGTGGTAGAGATGTAGATGGACTAGTGAATCAGCAGTGCAGTTGTTATAGTTCAAGTAAATGCTTGGCTGCTAACGCTTGACTGCTGTCTCTGAATGCCAATAGAGAGGCAGGGAACTGGCAGAAATAAGTTTGTTTTTGAATTTAAATTCAGGGAGCAGAACCTGGTTCCTGGCCTTTCTGAAACAGGTCTGCTGGTCCTTTAGGTTTCACAGTATTTTTTTGTGGGGTTTTTTTTGAGTCAGAGTCTCACTCTGTCACCTAGGCTGGAGTGCAGTGGCACGATCATGGCCACCACTGGGCCTGCTGGGCTCAGGTGATCCTTCTACTTTAGCCTTCCAAGTAGCTGAAACTACAGGTGTGTACCACCATGCCCAGCTAATTTTTTTGATTTATTATAAAGATGAAGTCTCACCATGTTGCCCAGGCTGGTCTCGAACCTGTGGGCTCAGGCAATCCTCTCACCTCAGCCTCCCAAAGTGCTGGGATTATAGGCGTGAGCCACCATACCTGACTTTCAGTTCATTTTTATAAGTTTAGGATTGCTGTTATCTATATGTTGACTACATGACTGACAGAGCATTGTACAGAACTCAAGTTACAGCCACATTTTGCTAACAGTAACATTTATGGTTCTCATTTCCTAGTGTCAGCTACTAAAAGGTAGCACACAGTGATATCAGTAACACCAAACCAAAGAGTTGAATAAGCTTGTCATAGTGTAAGGGAGTCAACAGGGCGTATTACAAAGTAAAGCA